TCTGTGAGGATTTCTTAAGTTCTAATCTTACAGCTTGGACTGACTCTTTTTCTAGTGTGAGGAAAATATCTGTAAAATGGAGCTGGTCTTTAAGACACCAGCACAGTGCTTTGAGATGTGCAGCTGAACAACATCTAGTATCGCTACCCATATATCACAGGAGAACCCAGAGGGGGAAAGAAGAGGGTGTAACACTTTTAAAACATGTGGAAAGCGTTATCCGAATAGCAAAAATCTGACATAAAACTATATACACATACTTACAGCTCAGATTTGGGCTCTTCATAGCCCTTGCTAGGCAAGTAGGGATAAGGATTCTTTATTCACAGCACGTTGAAAAGAGGTCCCACTCTGATTTTCACAGCTTGCCACCAGCAGTCAGTCTCTCTGCTTTTATTTATGGCTAAAAGACCTGGATGGAGTCAGGGCACAGAGGAAAGAGGGGAGAGCAATTGGCAGATCTCAGCTGATGAAAAAATCCTGTTGGGCATTTTTTGAAGGACAATCAATTGGAAAGGACTTGCTGTTAATCAATGTGAAACAGATACATGTCAGTCCCCCACAGAGCACACTACAATGCAAAACAGCTTCTCAGAGCAGCAAGTTTTTTGTGGAGGGGATTTGGACAGGCAGTTTTTCTCTTAAGCCTGCATTTCTGACAGCTGCCTAGTACCTTTTTCCCAGACTTGTCACATTTGTGCTGAGATATATAAATGTCTTCTCTCTTTCGCTCCTTAGCCACTGCACAATCTTTCAATTTCTTAAGCAAAGGAAGATAGAAGCCGTATTTTGTATCATCTATAGCTGAAGCTGGAGTTTTTCTTGTACAAGGAAATCGTTTCTTGTTATCTGAAGATGACATCTCTATTTTACAATAGAAGCCTCCATCCTCTTTTTTTTCAGTTCTCTTTACTGCCCCATCTCAGAAACTGAACTTATCCAATAGCTTGCAAAGAAAAATAATAAAAGAAAGATGGTTTTGCTCTGTTTCCTGGCGACCGACACCACTTAGACCCCAGGTAGAATCACACTGGCTAATTCAAGACAGAAACAAGCACCGTGATAGTTAAGTGGGAAGAGGGGATGCAAGCACTAGCAGCACTAACCTTGGTGGAGAAAATCCTTGCCACAGCTGTCTGCTGTTCATGATGGAATTCACAATTCCCAGGGGAATCTGTTTTGAATATGGGAAAATATGTTCCATGCATGTTTATCTGGCTTTTCAGGTTTTTCTCCCTTACTAAGCTTAATCATCTTGGCTCTCTTGCATTACCCTCTCTACCTGTAAAAGCATTTAACAAAAATCCCTTGATGCGGGGCTAATACGAGAGGGCACACTGTGGCTCCCTTCATAACTCAGAGAAAGCTGAGTAAGTCGTCTTTGCAGTTATTTCAGACTGTCTCTTCCTTTCTCCAGAACAAAGAACCCCTGAGGGTGAGGAAAAGCCCGTATGCCAGTAACACAGCACTACGTAGAAATGACAGAAAGGGCTTTAAAATGGCCTTATTCCCAAAGAAGATCAAGGGGATGACAGTTTGTGCCAGACTGTGGGAATGAAGAAGGAGGTATAGGCCTGGACTACTGTGGAGGCCTGAAGGAAGGAGGAGATCAAGGAGCAGCGATGGGAACCGACCTACTGGTTCAGACTGGAGGTGCCTCTAAATCCGTACAGAACGCGGCACACTGGCCAGGGCTCCTGGTGACCCCTTACTGCAGAGGCTCCTTCTGCACCTGCAAAAGGCCCAGTTCCACAAAGGCGTTTAGGCACAGGGCCAGGGCAATGAGGTACTTCTTGGGGCTAATCACGCTGCCTTCGCTGAAAAAAACCACCCAAAACATGTTACAGATAGTGTGGAGTTCAGATACTCCCGAGGGAGCCAGAACGATAGAAATGCAACAGGAAGATAGCTTCCCGTCCCTGCCATTAGAATGCCAAACAGAGAAAAATGCAAGAAGCCCACGGGGATATGTTGTCTTCAGTCCTGTCAGTCATGGATGTGACAGCTGGGACCTTTAAAGACTGTCGAAGGAGGGAAACCAAGGCACTCCAAATGCCAAGTCTGTCAGCAACGTAATTAACATGTCATGTACGGTCTGCTCAGAAATGCAGCACTTACTGCACCTCCAACTGCCAGACTATCAAAAATGCTGCTCAGCTGGTAATTCCTGCACCTCACAATAATGTCCAAGTTACTGTAAAGCTAAGAAAAAGGCAAACTGTGGTGTTTGGGAAGACAGAAATCAGTGTGTGGGGGAAGGCAAGCTACCCTACCACAGGAGCTGTTGGTATTCCCACTCCAGAGTGTCTCTGGAAACACGTACTCAACCCCGTTCTTAGAAAAGCCCATCCGTTTCACACGGGCAAAACACCTGAAACAAAAAAGGATGGAGGCAAGTTCTCTAGGGAATTCATAAATCAAGACAGGTTTGGGGCCCTCAGCAGCTGGAGCGTGCTCCCCACTAACCTGCAAGAACCACCTTGAGGCAGGTAGTGTCAAGCGCCAGGTAAAAGGGAAAAATTCTCTCCCCCCTCCCTGCTAGCGTACCTTGGGCAAACTTACAAACGCAAAGTGACGAGCGACGGAAAGAAAAATTCCATGTTGTGAAAGCCAGCCCACACAAAGAGGCATGGCAATTCTCACCCTCGCAGACCAAATGGATGTGCGTGCTTTAGTGCAAGAGGGTCCCAGTATAGGTAAGATACTCGGGGCAATCTAAATGAATCCTTAGGTTGAGAGAAAAACCTAAGTTTTTATTTTAAAAAAAAGTAGAGCTGTAAGCCATCATGACTGACCAGCATGACCAGGCCAAGGACAGCACCTGAATTCACCAAGAGCCTCAGAACAACAATTCAAGTATAACTGAGCAAACTTTCTATCGCATTGCTTAGAAGTACGGTATTGCTGCCAACACAGGCTCTTCCACAGCTGATCTCTGACAGACAGATCAGGGAAGGCACTGAAAAGGGAAACTCAGCGGGTGAGATCCAGGTGTGACTGTAAGGAACGATGGACTCACAAGGACAGGGTGAGACACAGGGAAAGAAAAGAAAAAGCAGGCATGTGAAAAAGGAAAAAAAGAGCTGGTAAGTCTGGTAAACAGCAGATTTTTAATGAATGTAACAATTAGCGATGAAGATATACATGAAAGTTTTATCTATAGACTGGCAGAAAATTTACAATTATAATCATATAAAAATAATCTATTTTTGCACAATAAATATACCCCTTAAAATTACGCAAGTTAAGGATATCTTACAAACAACAAAGAATCTTAGTTAAGAAAATACTTATGAAGGTTTCCTTGCAAATTTCTATTTCCAAACAAGTGATTTTGAAAAAAACCCCACAAAACTCTTCAACAATACCACCGACTCCTTAAATTTAGAGGACCTGTAGTCCAATTCTCATCTCAACATCATTTTCTTGTCTCAACAAACAGAAAAGACAGCAGCCCTGTGGTCAGCCCATTGGTTCCATTAAAGGAGGACAGCTTTATCAGGAGTTCCTGCATCAGAACAAAGGGAGAAAAAACAAAGCAGAACGAAGAGATGAGATGGACACCTTGTACTCCTGATCATTAAAAAGGAGTTTCTGAGCCATCCAAAGAGCTCTCGCCACCCTCAACAGATGGCACTAAAGACAGGAGATAGCACTACCTGAACACATGCTCAAAGTGCTTTGGAGAGAAATAGTTGTATCCAAGCTGCTGCTGTAGACAGGAGGTTCTTGCTGAGATTACAATCAGCTGTGTGAATGAGCACAGAGATAGAACACATTTGGCTAGATCAGTTTCTGTTAAGAACTGTCAGTGGTACAGGAAAGGAATAAAATTGCCCTTATAATGAAAATGGTCTCATTTGCAGCTCTGTGATAAGTAGTATTTATCACAAATCTTTGATTCCTTGTGCTCAGGCTGCTACTGCAGCTCCTCTGGGATAGCGGTAACGTACCATTTCTCCATGGCTCCTACTTATCTCAAACAGTCTCTGCTACAAACAGGTTTTTTCACCCCTGGCCTGTGAAATTTCTTGAATTATCTGATAAGGGAGAGTTTCAGCCACAATCACAGCATGTCCACAATTCTGCCAAAATGTTGTAATAAAATATGGGTCAACTGCACTATATGCAGTAGGGCGAAGTATGATTTCAGGTTTTATGGAAAATTCTTTGCAGAGACCTATAAAAGTTGAGCATGGCTTCATCATTCAGGAGGAGCACACTCATGCAATCAAAATCATCAAAAGCGATTTCACAAAAAGGGGTATGTATTTTTAAAAAGTTATATTTAACTAAGGTCTAGCACCAGGCAAAAACCATGAATATTTAAGAAAGGCAGACAGCAGCACATTTTAAAAAACAACAGTAACAATTAACACACACTAGCTTACATTTTCAAAGCATTTTACAAAAACATGAATTAATTAAGCCTCACAACACCCTTGTGAGATAGGTAAGTATTATTAGTCCCGTTTTAGAGACAGAGAAACAGGCATGGAGAAAGTATGACCTGATCACCACCACACACGTCAAATCCAGGAACAGAACACCAGATTTTCTAGTTTTCTACCACACATGGTCTGACCTCTTAAAAGATGCTAGAATTAAATAAAATTTATTTCCTCTCCTCTCTTTTAAGACACCTGGCCCCATTTCCATCTGATATGAAAAGGTACCCACCAATGATAAACAAGTGGAAGTAGGAAATAACATTTTTTATAGACTGTGTGTTGCTGGAAGCTGTTTTTAAGAAAAGCCTTGGCCATGGGTGCTTCCATACTGCCAGAGTCAGTGTCACTTCTCATCAGGGACCTGCCACCAGGAAACTCACTGAGGCCTATATGCAATGCTGATACAGCTCAGAATCTGCAGAAAAAAGGTAAAGTTTCTTTGCCACTTCCAAATAAGGCATCTCCCTCTGGCAGGGAGTCTTCTCTGAGAAGAACTCATATGAGCATAACTGCACTGAAAGCGAAGACGTTCATCTGGTGACTCTCAAGGTGCAGCGAAGGGTGCAGATGTATCTCTTGGAAAACCTGGAAACGTTCATATGTCATGCTCTGTGTTAAGAGAGATGGTCTGGAGGCATCAGCCATCCTGGGGGTTAGAAAATAACTCTCCATAGTCACCTTGAGAAGACAAGTTCCCTTAGTGTATCAGTCTTGCACTGAACTAGTCAGTGACAGCCTAGGATTAAAAATTCCAAACCACCTGAAAATTCAAATCAGCAGATTTAACTCTATAAAACGCCAAATCTGCCAGATTTGCAAACCCAGGCCCAGATGTTAGCGGAAACATAGAAATAAAAACCAGTCCTTCCACCTTCAGTTATGTATGTCCATTAGACACTATCTAGCGTCCAGGAAGTTAGTTTCACGACAGCTCGATCTGAAGATCCTCTCCATACTTTCGGATCAGCTTCATGTGGTTATGGTCGACTGACCATTGCTCTGGGAGGTGCTTGGGCTGCATGCTGTCCAAGAAATGCTGCCGCCAGCGTCTCTCCAACTGCATAAGGGAGCGCAGGCCTCCTTTAGCAAAACACTGCACCACCTTCAGTCCATGTGGCATGTAGCTCTCATTGCAGATCCTGCCAGGACACAAGCAGAGTTTATTTTCACACAAGCCCACTGTCAGACTCTAGACCTGTCTAGAATGAACAGCAAGACACTGAAGATACTTTCAGCTGCGGAGTTTAATTACAGACACATGATAAGCTAACCAGGAGGGAGAGTTTTAAGCTTTGCTTCAATGCCAGACTGCTTTCTGGAACACAGTTACACTGGGAAGCTGGTTTCTTTGAACTGAGAAAGTGTTCTCCTTTCACAGAAACACTAAGCAAAGCTCTCAAGGTCCATTACAAGCTCTTCAGGAGACAGACTGCAAGTTTCTCAAGGCAAGAACCAGATGACACTCCAGAGCCCTGACCTGCCACTGAATTCCCTGCCTGGATTGGTTCTGAGTTACAACATTAGCACATTACAAACAACAGTGAGCACAACAAGGAGCAAATACTGCCTTCATGCAGACAGACACCAGATACTAGTTAAGAAAAGGTATTTGCAGAGGCTTTGAGAAAGAGGAAGAGAGGAGACTTCTGGTATGATTGTCTTTCAGTCTCTCTCCCTGATCTGTCCTTCAAAAGAAATATAAAATAGAGGAAGGGAAAATGAAGAGCAAGAACAGAAGGAGATTGCTGGAAGAGAAAGGGAAAGAAGGGAAGAAACAAGAGCTGCAGTTCACAGACCACTGCTGGGTTGAGGGGAAAAGGTGGTAAACAAAAACAAAAGCACAGTAAGAAATGCAGAGTGTGCTTGTCTGCTTAGAGCCTTAGGCTACAGCACAGACAGTTACCTTCTTCCTATCCTTGCTTTCTAGTTAAATGTATCGAAGTACTATAAATCCAGATTCTGCAGGCTTATACAAATGATAAAGTTACTCTTTTAGAGGCTTGTTTTTTCCTGTGCAGATCAACTCCTAGTAGTCTCAAATTCAGACACTCCTTGACATCATTATTTTACAGTAGTTACATCAATATCCCAAGGACACCAGTAATAGGTTTTGTCTTATTTTGTCTTAATGTCTCATTAAAAAACTGGGGGGGGGGGGGGACGGCACGACGTGACGTGCTCTTGCTGAATTTTCTTTTATTTTGCTGCAGTAATATTTACCCAAGGCTCTGTGTGAATTAAGTGTCAACAGTTCAACAAAAAGTTATGTTGAACGTAAGTGTCAACATAAATGACTAAAATGTTACATCTCCTGATGGGCTTGTTATACCTGGTTTCCAAACCAGCTGCTTCCTGAAGCATCTCTGGGGTGACTGCCTCCGTGTTAAAGAAGTCCTTGATGCTTTGCAGAAGTTCTGCCCTTCGGGGGTCAGGCAGGCTGTCTGCATTCAGCAGGGCTCGGGCCCCCGAACGCACTTGCCTGCGCAGAGGGTCCTCCAGCAGACGCACGCCTTCCTCAGAGCCGATGGGGGCACGAAACTCCTCAGCCAGCTGCTGCTTGAGATGGTTGTCATAGTAATTGGAGATGGCATGGCAGGATGTGCAGAGTAGCAGCACGTCATGAGAGTTGTGGTCCTTCATCTGGATGGGGAAGTGTCTTCGGTATTCGTGAGGAACAATGTTCTTCCTAAGGAAGACAAACTAGCCAGGTCATTACATTTTCCTGGAGCTGCTACTCCCCAGTTCCTCCTCTTCCTGGCCCACAAAGGGTCAACTAATACTAAAAGTCCAAGAAAACAAAGATCACCAGGGTCAGGACCCTCAGTGCAGCAACACATTCTGCAACTTCTTTTTATTTGTACTTTTCTCCACAGGTTTTCTGCATTTCTCTTTTTTTTTCCCTTCCAAAAATTCATTGCTTTCAATTAAAAAAAAAAAAAAGTGATTCATGCTGTTTAAAAAAAAAAAAAAAAGCAATGCACTATGAGAAGCATGCCTCCCAGGTAAACAGCACCAGCTGCAAAAACAAAAATCTCACTCTTTGTGACCTCATGAGCTTCAGGCTCACCTAAACCTTTCAAAAATATAAGGATTAAGTAGTGGAAGGAAGAGTAGAGCTATTTTCAGAAGGGGGTGCCATCAGAACAGTGTGTGTTGGCATATTGCTGCCCTCTGTCATTCAAACTGCAGCACAAACATGTACCATGTGCTTTGTTCTCTCCAAGGACAGGCATCTCCTGCCTCCGTAAGAAGAGGAAAGGCTGGCCTGTTCGGTGTCAAACTTACCCAGACACATACGACTACCAAGCATTCAAATAGTGATAACTCATCCAGGATGTGAACAAGCATGATGTTTCAGGCCACTAACCAAGCTTCTGGATGCCAAACTAAATGCAGACCTCAGCCCTGTTTTAAAAGATGCATTTTTCTCCTATCCCACTAAACAACTCACCGGATATAGGATTCTCGCTTGCCACATACAACACACAGGTTCTCTTTGACTGTCAGATAATAATCAACTTGAGACTCAGGACGTCCTGAAGGCTCAAACCGCAGCTTCACAACAAATGGTTCTGTGCTAACTAGATCTGAAAGGGTAAAGGCAATCAGAGAATATTCAAGACAAATTTGTATTTGAAAGCTAAAATAATGATATTAAAACACAGGAATCATCCTAGTGAATCCCCAACAGTATTTCCAATAAGAAATGATACAAAAAATTCATGCCCAGTTACGTAGGCAACAACGAAAAAGAAAAAAAAAAAAGCTGTATTTCAAATACCACGAGGAAAATGGGTATGCTCACCTCCAATCCCCTTGTCCAGATACCACTGAGCTTTCTTGCGATCACAAGTGCACAGGGGTTGTCCATCTGGTGCATGCAGGAAGCAGTTGTCATACAGTGGAGATTTTCTATGAAACAAGGGGAGCATTAAAGCAACTATAATAGCATGCCAAAAACACAGAGCTCTCTATAGCCCTGCGTTCCACGCTGCAATTCATTTGTAATTCCTTTCTTCTCTCCAGCAAGATCGTATAAGTAAGTACTCAGCAAAGCTCTAACAGCTAAAAAGACTGATTCATAGGCTGTGTAATCTGACAAAAGGATTTCTTCTGAGGTCCACTGCGGAAAAAAAAAAACAAACCAACAAACCAATAATCATATAGAAGGTCTCCTTCCACTGAGCATCAGCAGTTCAGCTCAATCACCATGATAAACATGGGGAGATCTTCAATTTAGCTTGGAATGCAATTTTGTTTAAATGTTAATCCTGACATGAAGTGCAAACCTTCTGTTTTGCATGACACAACTCCAATTAAAAAAAAAAAGATAAATCTGGAGCAACTTGCTGTGTACAACACAATACCATTAATGACTGCTACTGAAATCATTAAAATTTCTCCATTGCCAGTCCAATGAACTTGAAAAGGAGAAAACAAATACTAAAATGACTTGTTTTCTTTACAAATGGTAATAACAGACAACTTTAGCTCCTACATCCATGTGATAAATTTTATTAGATTGTATCCAAACAAAAACAAACATACTAGCTCTTCACGTCTTCCACTGCATTAAGGTTAAGGAGACTTCTCCAACTTGTTTTAATTTAAAACAACTGAACTCTCATTAGCAAAAGGCCGCAAGAATTTAGGATTTGCTCCACAAAAATCACCTGCTGGATGGAGATCCTGAATCCAGCAACAGGTGCCTTTGTAGGGCCAAAGTAGTCCTGTTCCCTCCTCTCTCCCCTGGCCAACATAGAAGTGCAGTGCTTTGATGCTGCCACAGATGGTTCCTTCCTGGGCCCTCTGGCACCTCACATGACATGTCTCACCCCTCCTAACCTTAATTTTCAGTCCTGCTCAGTACCCTGATGCCTCTGTGGCCACAGTGACCTGGGGCAGCACAGAACAAACAGCAGTCCACGAGGCAGATCCTGCTCACAGGACAAGCTCTATGCAGTTGCCACCTTTCCCCTGGAGGAGACAGGGAACAGCTGTTTGGGCAGCAAATGCCACCCAGGCAGACAACCGCCTCCTGCTGGGACTCTGCTCTCCAGCTAATTCCTCCACAGGAGAAGAAAGGGCAAAAGCTGAAGACAACCCCTCAACCTGCTCATGACCTAGTACAGTCCCCAGTGCTGCTCCCACTTTCAATACCACCTAGAGGGAAATATGGAAAACAGAAGCAAGATCTGGCTCCCAGGACTGTTAGCTGCTGTGTTTCCTTTCCCAGCTCATATTAACGACTTTGTTTAACAAATAGAGCATGAGGCATCATTCAGAGTTTTCCATCTGTGGTGCAAAGAGTAAAACGTGCTCAGAGACTTACCGTGCAGAATATCCCACACCCAGCGGCTTTCGCTTCTGCCTCCGTGGATCTCTCACTTGTTGACTGCCAGAGGTCTGGCCATTTACCGAAGATTTCCGATTCTTTGTTTTCTGAGGGGAGCGTCCCTCTCCACTCTTCTCCTCTCCAGTGCTGCCACTCTTTCTTCCCCTAAATGGGACATCCACCAAGCCCCGGCATTTACCCAGTGCTTTTTCCCAAGCAGCGACAGAGTTTTCAACTTCAGATATAGCAGGGAGGCTGGCAAATCCCAGCAAGTGGAGGAACACAGCCACTGAGACCTGGGCATCCCTAGCAGCATAGAGAACCTGCAGAAAAGTGATCAAGATACTGACAAACAGCAAAAACTCCCAAACGTTATCTGTCTTTAACACTTGGTACAGTAAAGCCAGAAGCTGGAAGTATTTCCATTTGAAGTTCATGTAAAGTTGTGGCAATTGAGTGACACTTTCATAACATCACCATGCCCCACATTTTTAGGGTCAGTCAGACTTGAAATATTCATGGGTGCCCCCAAGAACCGCAAGAGACGGGAAAAATTCAGGTCAGCCAGGCCTTAAACACCATCCTGCCCCCTCCCCAAATACTGAAGAGCTCGCTCTTGACACACTCGCTACTATTCAATGTGGTTATTTATCCTGTCACTCCCTCTAGTGGTGACTGATTTTGTAGACATCTGCAGCATGACTAAAGTGAGACATCAAGGAAACCATAATGGTATAAAGATGGTCAACAAGATTTCCAGGGTCTCTCTCTAATATTGCACTGACCGCTATGGATTGGAGGAAATAAAATTATTTAAAAAGTGAGGTTTTGGGTGCACAAACACTTCTTCAAGGGATCTTGCCTTATAGATCTTTCAGGACTAAAGGAAAATGAGCGTCAAGAATCCAGGGAAAACCGGAAAATTATCTTCATGGAAGAGGAGGGAAATTCAGGCACAGAGTCTGAAATTAACTTCAGACTACAGTCACACATAATGTTTTGAGGCAGAACTCAAACCAGGCTCTCATCTTCCTGTTACAATGCCTCTTCTCTACTAAGAAGGTTGCTTTTACTCCCAAAACACTAAGTGGAAGACACACCTGATCTTGTGTCAACTCTTCTGCCTCCCAGTCGCTGCAACGCACATGAGGAGACTTGTCAAGTGGGCAGTTCAGGACTTTTTCGGCTAAAGACTTAAGGCTAAGGCAGTTGTGAAGTAGATCCTTCCTTCAGTTTAACAAAGAAAGTGAAACAAACATATTAAAAATGAAACTATACATCCATGCAAATTGAGATGGCCTCATACACCCTGAACCTGCCAGAACACAATGCACACGACGCATGACTCCCACTCAAACAGCACACAGCTGCCTGTCAGCTTTACAGGGCCTCTCCCTCCCCTCTGCTAAAATGTCCTTTCTAGATTTAGTAATCAGCTAGTGCCTGCAATATGCAAAACAGGCAAGGCTGGGAGTTGGTAACATTTAAGGCTGAAGTGTTTGGCTCTGAACTTCCTATTTCTGAGCTAAGGTGGCCTATCACAGAGTGATGGACCGCCTGCCCCAGGGATTCATAAGCAGCATGAGAGCCAGGAGTGACTCAGAGGAATTCTGACCACTGGAGACAAGAAGTCATCCTCAGTGCTAAAAAGGCACCATCAGGTCAGCAAACCCATGCCCCAGATCACTAACACCACACTCAGGCACACATATACTGTACGTGAAGAATATTCCCAAGTAAAACATTTTATTTTAGGAAGAATGAAGGATGATAAAATGGCATCATAATTGTAACCTTTTAATGGAACCATTGTTATTAAAAGAGAAAATTAGAGCCAGTTCATTTAGTTGTTTTTCAAGAAATCCTGTAATTCAACAGTTCCACTTACATGCCCCGGCACATTTACCCCATACTTCTAGGCACTGTATTCAAACATCTGTCGACATGGTGATCGCTCTCACCGCATTACATCATTGTGCCTGGACTCCTTGCAAGCTGAAGCATGATACTCAGAAAAATCCACATGGGTATTCGCATGAGAATTTTAACAGACTCAATTAGCATATGAAATCTTCATGAAGATTTCATTTCCATTAAGACCATAGAATAGAAGCATGGCATGTCCTTGGGCTGCAGCTGTCAACACCCATGCTCTTAAACCACCCTAACAACTCCAGACCTACCTGCCTGGTATTATTCAGCATATGCAAATTACTTTAAAAATATTTCCAACTCAAATGATGCCTCAAACAGAGCTGCCTCTGTCTTCAGACACTCACCGCTGTCTCATGGCTAAATAGCGGAGATCCACACTCCCTTTGACTGGAAGACCATAATCATGAAGTAACTTGCAAGCATCCTCCCAGCATCCTACCCCAACTTTCAACACAGCACTATCTGCCATGATGTCCAACAGGGTCTTTGGGATAGTCTGTCCACTGGCAACAAGCCTGGGCAACCGAACAAGAATGCAGAGGCCACTAGAAGAAGCCATCTGTAGGAGGGACACAGGATTCGCTTTTCCCTCCACAGATACCTGAAATAAAGACAAAAATCAGAGTCTGGGTTACAGTATTATTAGCAATAGAGGAGCTGGAACAAATTGCAAAAGAGGCCACTGAAGACAGGAAATATCTATCACTTTATACAGTCAAGTATTGTTACATGTGTCTCAAATTTTACTGCAAATTATGTGATCTGTTTCACAGTATTACACAGTATTTCACAGTCCCCAGCCACTTCTTGCCACACTCCTACAAGAGAAACTTTCCCCCTTTCACCCTTCCCCCTCATAGCTGAGCCGACAGAAGAAATCAGACACATTTCTTAATCCACATGAGCACAAAGCCACCCACTGCATAAATGTTTATGGCAAACACGTTGTTTAACTGTGCCTTATACTAATGACTGTGGGGTGAATAAATCTCCAGTCAAAATAATGGCAAAGCCAGGCTTTATGAATGACTCAAAGCCTGTTTTGAGAGTTCACACAGGCAAATGTACAAACGGAAGAGGAACTTTGCTTTCTGGTAGTCCCAGTGAGTTATATCTACATATCAGCATTATCCTCTTTCTTGGGTTTATTATTCTTAAGAAATTATTTCTTAAGTATGTAGCTGGTGTAAACCCAAGCTACTTCCAGTAAATCAGCTTTAAAGTGGTATTACACAAATCATAATGCAGTTACCACTGTGTTTAGTATAGTCCATTTATCACAGGAGTTCAGCAACAGAATACAACTATGGAATTAAAAACTTACAGACAACACACTTAAATGTGAGAACAATCAAAATTAGCAGCTAATTCACTGCTGTCATGACAGATAATCACACAGTTTCAATATAGTCAGTCCTGTTGTATCCATTCAAGCAAAGGAATCACTCCTCCCCAGATGATTTCCCATGGCAATCTGCAATCTAAAGGATCTTCTTGATCACTCACCCACTCACAGTCAATTCCAAGCACTGGCCAGTTCTCCAGCTCCTTCTTCAGCAAGGGCTCAACACGATCCCACTCCTCCTGCTCTGAAACTATCACTATGTCTGCACCAAGGGTCCTCTCTACCCAGGAAAAGGTGGGGGATCTGAAGAAGGAAAGCACCTCCTTATCCTCTGCCTTAATCAGTTTCTCATCTCCCAAGTCTGTAACTGCTTCCTCTCTCTGACTACTACAACATGCTTTTCCTTTCCGACGCTGGGTTGCCTTCCACAAAACCAGGCCCCCCACTGCGACACCCAGCAGGGTCGCCAAAGTAATCGTCACTGCTGTTTGCTTGGGCATTTTTTTTATCCCCCTATTCCCCCCCTTCACTTCACCCACTCAAAATGGCATTGTAGGATCTTATCATGGCCTGCAAAGAAAAAGGAGAGAGGTGGAAATTAAAGACAACTTAATTAAATGTGTTTAGAGATATTAAATACACCCACTGGTATCATACCAAGGTTCTAGCCACAACAGACAACCCTGACAGAAGGACCGAGTCTCGCTTTGATAGACTGGAGGTCAGGGGACAGATTGCTGCAGTGGTAGACTGGGCAGTAACAGGGGACTGAATGCTGCTGTTGATCACACACCGGAAACCTTTAATGGGAATCCACTGATTTATACTGGTGTAACTAGATGCTTCCACGAACTCATATTTCACAAAAAATAAAATAGTCAGGGCTATTATCAACATATTCGGATCCAGATCAGCCGAAGCAAGGACAAGATGAGATTACTGCAGAATAAGCATGTCCAATCATGCATTATTAAATAATAGGCATTGTCCATTACATTCACATCCATACTAAGGTCAAATGGCTCTTCAGGCATTGAAAAGCCCCGAAGCAGCAGCATCTATTTATAACATAGCTTTCCCTCCATCGTACAAAAGCTTAGCTCTCCTTCAGTGAACCGAAATCAATCCTGCCCCTGCATCCCCATCTTCCCAACCCACGACGTCATTTTTAAAGGCTCGCCCTTACGTGCTCTTCGACACAAGCAGAAGCTGCGGCGTCGGTGCCACC